GTGTGTAATTTTCAATATGCTGTACAACATGGTGTTTTAGTATTCTCTTTACATTAAGCAATAAGGAGAACAATAATTACGGAACTTGATATTTGCCGTTAAAATAATGGCGAAAATAAACTGATGTTAAACAAATTATAAATCAAGAAGAATTCTAGCAACAGTATGTTAATGATGGAAAGAATACAAAGATCCATTTATTTACTCTTTTCTAGTAAGTTAGTAGTTTCGTACCTAACACTTCATCATATGAAATGTGTGCCGAATAAGATATGGTGGTGTTCACATATTTAGTGGTGCGATCATATCGTCTTTCGTGATTGTTAGATACAATGGGGAAGATTGACGACCCAGGTATATGATTTTAGAGTAGTTGTGTTCTCGCAGATGGATAGTTTAGTCGCAAAGCTTTCGTAGTCTTACTAGAAAAATCGTCAGTGCCCACTTCAGTTTGAAGTAAGCTTTTAAAATTCCCCAAGAGTTAATCAGTAATCTCTTCTGGTAACCTTCTATTCTATTTGTATTGATAGTGACTGTTTCCTTGACCTGAATGCTGACCTTTAGTTCAGATGATTTCCTTTTTATGGATTGGTGAAGCTTAATCAACATCAGTGTATCTGTTGATTTCTGATTCACCTGAGTACCAGGATATGCCAGAATGTATATTTAGAAGACAAAATTACAGACAAGAGGTACGAATAAAAAAGGTGAAACTATTATGTAAAATAAACCTTGATTTTAAAATTGGGTTACCAAGGCAACATTGAAGTAATAATAAATGATTTTTAAACACACAAAACAGGGTCTAGCCTTTCTATGGCTACAGCTGGAATGAATTCAAGTAAGTAATCCCAGCCTGTTTCATGTATGGGTTTAAAAACACTGTTAAAATAAAACTCATGACTCATCTCTGTGATGTTCTATGAGTTATATGATGCTGAGGACGATTCGAATAATAATAAACTTGCATAATGAAATGAAGAAAAGTTATTGCAAGAACGTTAATCTGGCCACAGTAGGGTGAGTGAATGTATGTAGTGCTTTTGAATGCAGAGGTCTGGTTTCAGATACCGAAAAGCCAGTGATTCAGTTATGTGTAGATGGCGTATTCGAAGTCTTTTCGTGAGATATTGAGGATCTGTGTGTAGCTTTGTGAAACATTCATGCAAGGGTGCTCTATGTCAAGAGTTGACAAGGCGTTAGAGGATAAGACTTCTGGTATTCTCCTTTTTTCCTCTGGCTAGCCAGGCTGGACAGTGTTCCAGAATACGTTCGCGAACGTGATGGTGCGCACGGCTGACATACTTCCCTCCACACCAACAGTAAATTGATAAGTACACAGTGAGTAGGCAAAAAGTGGTATATTACCCCTAACGTTAGAGTGGATTAACTGTCTGCTGGAGAATATGATGCATAAGGTGGTTAGTAGAAATGTTTCCTTCGGACATTTAGAAATTTTTTTCAGTGAATTTTTGCCTCGATGTCACCTGTGAATTCCAATTTACACTAACAATTTGGCGAGCCTATTAGCTGTCGAACTTTAGCAAGGAGTATGTGTAGAGGAATGTTGGCTTTTCAATAGGCCATGAACTTGTGATAATTGGTAATGCAATATATTCTTTGTCATTAATCTCATTCACATCGGAGAGTTTCATTAGATTATTGGTCACTTTGTAAAGTCTTCACATCTGACGAAGAGCATCTCATATTAATTTATTCACATTTGCGAGAATGGATGACATTCGAATTCACTTTGTCCATTATGACCATACATAAACCTTTATCTAATCTGAGAATAACGATATCAGTATCATGCTTTCGCCCCTCTAGGGCTTTCAAATGTTCAAGTGTTAAGTTACTTCTCCGTATTAAACTAAAATTATATAATTGGCGACCAGTACAAGTGATGCTCTACGGTTAAAGTCATTTCAGTAGCAATCATAAAAAATACCATAAATCCTGGAATATTGTAGTTATTTGCAGAAAAGCTAGGTGATCGATCTGCATCAGAGTTTATCAACTATATATTAATAAGAGAATTAATCTTCAAATCACCAAAGTTTTCATTCACCAAGGCAGCACTGATAAAGGAATATAGAACTAAAATACTTTCTCAGCATCTTTTAAAAAGTAGGAGAAACCTTGATTAAAATTGTTTGTAAAGTGGTTTTGAAATTAATAAATAAAGCACTAACACTTGTCGAAACTCGAAACTCCTTCTTTCAGCCAAACTTTTGCATTGGTTATGAAATTCGACGGAATGTACGTCGTCCTTTAGTAGTCAAGATGTAAATACAACAGCGGTATAAACAAACCGAAATATCATTATGCTTATGTTAAATGTTTTATCCCGTCGCATATACACGAGTTAAGTGATGCAGAAGAAGTCTACATAAATTCTATTTAATGGAAGTCAAAGGCAGGCTATTCATTTAGGTTGTAATATGGATCGACATAAGATAGATAAAACACTCGAACTTTTTGATTTAATGCAGAGAGTGTTTAGTTTGGAAGTAAGAAATGCAGATTTAGAGAAAGACCTATTACTTATCATGGCACTAAAGCTGGCATTACATTCACAATTATACTATACTATCACATTTTGATAAGTTCCTAATCAATGAAGAAGATAATGGGACAAATTTAGTTTTTGGTCTTCTTAATACGATGCATTTTCTGGTTTAAACATGTCTCGTGTTATTCAACTGATTCCAGTAAGGCAGTCTATTTTACTCATAAGTCTTAACTACTTGAAACTTTATGAAAAGGTTAATAACTCTGACATAACTAATGCATGCGGAATAGGAATGATAAACTTGACTTCTAGTAATGGCTAAATATCTGCTCTGATGAATTCCCAAGAATTGGTAATTTATAATACGGAGTGACTGTAATGCAATGCGCTATGTGATAAACAACATTATCACTTAGGTTTCGCATTTAAATCTCAAGAACCTATCTCAAAACTAATCACTGACTGATACAAGAAAAATATGGTTGTATGATGACGATGATTGTCTCACAGTGATCTCCACATAACTAAACAAACAGAAATCAACCGACTCCACGTCTGATTAACTGAGTGACTAACTAGTTGACGAGGACTATGCATTGGTGTACATCAGTCGAAGTTGTTTCACTCTGAATAAATAAATGTGAATGAAGAGATGTTCAGCAATAAGCGAAGATGCATACAATAAAACATTTTGTGGTGTTACTCGATGGAAATATGGGCCCCACAACGATAATAGATGTCTTAGTTATTTCAGTGGGAAAACATTCGTCTGCGTTCTTTATAAGAGTCGTAACTCACAATGACAGCAAGTCAAATTATGAGATATTACAGTCAGACACCCTCAAATATTTCGCTTCTGTTATCTTCCCTGATGGACAAGCAAGCTCTTCAATAGCCTCAAGATTTAATATCAATGAGTGTAAAAGCTTGTATTAAAATTCAAATTTATCCAAATAAAATGATTCTTTGATGAAAGGTCATGAACCATGTTGATTGAAGCCTTAATTTACATTACCGAATGCATCAATAGTGAAAGTAAGTATAACAAGCTTTGCAATACTCCCAATAAGCCTCTTGCTGAAAGTAGAATCATGTGAGCCTTTTGGACACTAGGTTACTAACTGTGAAAATAAAAACAAAATGCCTTGACAAAATACTTCAGCATTATTCCCTACAATTCATATATCTGTTTAACTGATTATTTTGACATTTCTTTGAGATCATAGGGCAGCATAAGTCAGTTATAAATATGCGGTCCGGGAATTCAAATGAATAGCTGTATTTTCATCACATTTCTTCCAGAGTGACTTAGGCTTACGTGATGAACTTTTCGTAATGTCTTCTTTTGATTTTTCAGATTATTTGATTTTATAGTAAAACGATCATTTTGGAAGACTCCTTAGTTTTCCTTATGACAGATGATTAAATTTGGTGTGAATGATGATAGACACTTTTGTGATGCAAGCATTCAAACCTTCAAATAAATACTATTCACAAATTAGCTGGAGAGTAAAACTGACCAGGTGACTTCAGTGTGATTAAATCGAAAGTGAATATGTTCTCCTTTTCTTCAGATGTTGTGAGAAATGGTTGTTTATGGACTAGTTAAACGTAGCTAATAACGTCAATGACTGTTTGTTGACTAGTTAGTTTCTCATCTGTTTGAAATTCACTACTCTAAAAATAATAGTCAAAGAAACTTCACCAACTGTTTCTATAAAATAGGCATATATAATCTGTTGTGTAACAAAACATAATTATCAAGTAGGTTGAAAAAAATAAGTATTTTGTAATTACTTCAGTAATAATAATGACGATGATATTGTCAGTAATAACGATGATGATAATAATTGTGATAATAGTAACAGAATAATACATAGGAAACTATGCAAGCTTTCGGAGTATATATATATATATATACTGGTATAAAATAATGTGCTGACAAGTGAATTTTGTAGGTTGAAGAATTTATAAATTAATTCTGAATATGAGCAAAATGTTTTCCGTCCTTGTTTGTTAGTTCAGAAGGTTAACTCATAACAAAATGTGTACAAAAAAGCACTGAAAGTAATGCAGATAATATATTCACTCAGAAATAAGGGGAGAAAAAATAAATGATTGCTAAGTTGCAGTATAAGGGCATTTATATCTTCCTTTAATCCCCTTCTTATTCTACAATTTCCCAACATCTTTAAGTATTTCGGTTTGCTAAACTGAAGGATTAGTGTGAAAAGAAGAGCATTTCATTTCTTTTTTGAATCAAAATTAATAACCAAACTGATTGACTAATTAGTTAAAAATAAAAACTGGAACAGATTTTCTGTTCGCATGCAACAATCGTATGTCGTCTTGTTTATTTCTTCGGTCATTTTTCCTTATGCATTGTTCCTCACAGTTCACCGTTAACTGACCCAAGGAAATTCTTTATCTCTACAGTCATATAGCCAGTTATACATTTATAAGGATGTTTAGTATTTTTTTGCATCTATCCCAGGTAACTCGACCGTTTATTCAAATACTTCTCGGGTGAATTCATCCATATCGATGCAAATTTCTGTAAGCCTTTTATTGGTTTCTGTGACTTAAAAAAATTGTACATCTCATTCACCGGTTCAGTTTGTTTACACATTGTTCGTTGAATAGAATTTAATGAACCCAAAGGCTTTAAGAACCTTGACTTATTAAATATTGGAGGGTTATTGGATTCACGTAATGATTTTAAATTTTGTAGCTCATGTTGATGAAGTTTGGTTTCAAATTTATTTTGCAGTGTTTTAAAGGATGACAAATTACTTAATGAAATATTAGTTGATGATTGTTTTATGCTATAAAGTGCATTATTCTGAAGTGTATTTGATAGAGTTCTACGCTGATTCAAACAAACTTTATTCAGATACCAGTTATCATTCATTTTGCGGTTGAAAGTACTTGACTTTGATGGTACAACTGAGTGTGAATCACGTCGATTATGTGGAATTTTCTTGATCTTTTTATTACAACTTGGTAAGGTATCCAAATCTCTGCGGTCTGCTTTATCACTGCGTGAATTTTCTGGTGTTATCGAATTCATTTCGTTTCTATGAAATACATCATTACCGTGTTGTGAATGCTTTCTATAATCTTTAGTACACTTAACAGATGACATACGTAAAGTTTGGGGTTGACACTGATGATGAAAAAAACACTGATAACGGTAATGTGCATAACTATCATTTTTAGACTGAATCGGTATACAAACATTTCGTATAGACTTATAATCTGAGTTTTTGTAGCAGTAGTGATTCATTTTATCATGATTACCTTTTGCACCTATACCATCAAATGACCCTTGTCGGTGTTTTTGTGACTCCTTTTTAGATGGACTTGTATCACTTTTTGCATTGCTTGAACCATCATGAACCCAAGTGGAGACTTGGTTATCTGGTAAACTGCATATATGTTCAGGGATTTCTATCATATCCTTTGGGAGAGCACCGTAATATTGCTTGTTTTTTAATAACCACTCATTAACTTTCTGTTCAGATAATGTTTTAAGAGTCCGATTATCATGAAATAAAGTTTTTAGACGGTCTGTATGACCATGATCCCTAGCATTTGTATTTGTTGCTTCATTATAGTTTACATGTTTCTGAGACTGACGTGTATTCATTTCATCTCTCTGTGTATGTGTATTAGAGACTACTGATTTACGACCTGCAGATGATAAGTGTGATCCCATTTCACAGTATGACTTCACTGCCAGCATTGGAACTAATAAACTTCATTAATACAGGCTATGTTAATATACATTTTATTCAAGAATCCATCACGCCACAGTTTAGCTCATTTTATCTGTCGACTAAATACACATCTGTCATAACAATCAATTATAAATCGATTTATCAGCTCGATTTAAATTATGATATGACAAAAAATGTATTTTTATCAAAAAAATATTTTATGACTGCTTAATCCATTTTCCGTTGTTTTGAATGCTTATAATCATGTTAGAAAAAAGCTATGATTAAGACAGAATGTATTCATTTCTTAATATTTTTGGCAACCTAAAAAATTTTCTTATTAATTACCTAAAACTGATAGACTGTCGGATTTACATATGGAATTTTCACGGTTTTATGGAGATAATTTAAAACAGAAAATACACTCCATCGAAAAGTACTAGCACATAAGTGCGAAATGAATCATTCTATCATTCATATATATTTCATCTGTATCACACCAGATACTCGTCAAGTGTATTTCTCGATTTCAGACGAAGTAAGCAGTATTCATCACAATAGAACGACGCCAAAATTTGGAGAAAATATTGAAAATCTTAGCACTACGTGTTCAAAGTTTTCTCTTAAAATACTAAAAAGTCGTATGTAAACGAGCAATCACTGGCTTTTCATGGTACTATTTTCAGTAGATATACTTCCAATCATTATTTACATGGTAGACTGTTTTTAAGTGTATTTATCAGCAAATTTTCAAATCAAAACTTAAAATTTATTTTTCCGGATAAGAACTAAACTCATAAAATACCTTTAGCTTTAAAAGATACATACTCATCTGGTAAGTTAAGTTCTAAAGTTCATACATCTGCTTTCTGATTTTCTGAAATCACTTTTATGAGCTCCTGATAACATAATAATGTGCATTTATTACTTGTCATCCCAAGGTTCTTGGGCTTCACGACTCTCACTCAGCAGCTTTTTGTCATTCGAAGATAAAATGATATGCTTTAACCACATAAACATAAAGTGTGCAGTATCGTGTATTATCTAGAAAGATTTCATTTATTTAGAGATATCAAGCAGACGGGTTCTTAACAACTGGAGATCTATTTAATATGTTGCATGGCGCTTTTGTGGCTTGATATTTAATTATAATTATAATTACAAATATTATGTAGCATTTCACATTTTTATTATAATTATTCACGCCTATTGTAAAAATTTTCAAATAAGATATGATTTCTTAAAAATACTTTATATTTATGATTGTACATTTTTCCATTTATTTTATTCCTTCACGTACCTAGCTTTGAAGTTTCAATATCAGCGGTTTTATTTTTACGAGTTAGGGTAGATAGCCTCACGCCCAACTTCCCCTCTTTACCGTTATTACTACTGGCTTAACGAGGTTTAGGAGTGAGTCAGCAGATGATCGAACCCCGAACCATGTGCTCGGCTAACGAGCGTTCTATCGCTGAACCACCAACGCACACTACCATTGTACAGCTTAATGATAAACTCGCTGAAAAAAGTCTCTTCGCCGAATATGATCATTAGTTCACTTGCTATATCACATTAAAATGAGATGTCCAACATCTACATGTCACTTAATAGAAATTACCAGTGTCATAGCAAAAGCAAAACTATGTCATCTGTAAGGTCCAAATAATACTCCAAGTTAAAATTTCATGAGCATTTATGTGCCATTAGACCAGTGGGCTACAGCAGGTTGGGTGTGAGATGAAATATTTGCCACCGATGACACTGGCTGGTGTTCGCGTTTCATCGTGAATTGGTAGAAGTTGGAATTCATGGAACACTGGATTAGGTCCCAATGGTTTAATGGTCTACAAGCTAGCTCGCCTTGCAACCAGAAAGTCCTGAGTTCGAACCCCGTCGGGTGCGTACTGTGAGGGGTCCCACACTGGGACGAAATGACTGTCCAATGCTCCCAGGCTTTCCAATGGTTTTCTAGCCTATGTCAGCTCATGAAGAAATCCTGAAACCAATCAATCAAATCCCTGCAAACCTGTGGAGTCTGGAACAATATGATTGTGCAACTTTTGTTAGATGTTACAAATGGAAACATTGTACATAACCTTTGTTTAAGACGATTCGTTGCAAAATACACATAACTTTGGAGTACGAGTCAAAATACAGTGTGCTGCTCGACTTTTCGTTTTCTCACTAATAGTGTTGTATCATTTGGATTTTGAAGGAACCTCTCGTCTGAAGACTATTCTACAACCAGTGCACAGCTTTTACCACTGTAACAATAGGAGGCAAGACACGGGAGCCAAGGTATATTTTTCATTAATCAGACCACTGTTTATATATCTACAGTTTATATTCATTAACCAATCACTGAGCGTGTGATTTCGGCTTACATCCGTCGACATGAAATAGAATGTTCAAATATACATAGTATTCTGTTGCTGATGTAGTATTTAACTTTGGGAAAGTATTCTGTCTCTAACATCAAATGGAATGTTCAAATAGATATATCGTATGGTATTCTGTTGTTAATGTCAAACTGAACTGTGGGAACATGTGAGAACTGCATTCCGTTGGCACACATTGTCTGTATCACACCATCACACCAGGAGACATGACTTCAGCAGTGAATACTTCTGTGGACTATATTAATAATTTGTGGCAGTGGACTTTAACTGTATCACCAAGTTACCATTAATTTATATAACTCGTTAGCTGTATTTTTATAATATGCGGTTACAAAATCATTTCATTAACTTGGATTTGCGTTCTAATATTTGTTCCGTCACCGAGGTTTCTATTAAGTCTCCAACTAACCAACAATCGAATACTATGCAAATCTTTTTTAAGCATAGAAACATGCATGATATGTAAAACCTATCTTAGATAAATGAATTCGTGATTATCCTGAATTAGGCCACCTTAGTAACAAATAATTTAGTTTACACATATGTGAAGCAGACTAAAGTTGTTACCCCTTCTAGCCAGAAAGTTAAACTTTTGCATAACCATTTCTTTACACACTTTTTAACCCCTCTTAGTTTACTAGGTTGTCTATAGCCCTGATGGTATGGAGTGTAGCTAACAAATTCATTACTAAAGAAACGGAAAATAAAAATACCATCATTTCTGGTTTGATTTAAGAATAATCCTTCATCTGGGCTAAAGATTCATTTTTGTTTTCCAATACAATATAGTTTCAAAGAGGCTACTTTTTTTGAAAGTTACAGAATCCAATGAATTACTCTTCTGAGAGGACGTAGCAATGTGGTATTCGAAACAGAATGAGAACTTTCAAACTTGCAAGCATTCTACAGAATTCTTTTCCTTTCAAAGTAGTAAATCAGGAGTGACATCAACAGTTAATTCTGAAATAAATACTAAAGTTAACGGATAAGAAGGGAATGGCCTATAAAAGTACATTTTGAAATCCACTGACTAATGGCCAACAAGATTCACGTAGTGATGCCTTTGAAACAGTTGCATTGAATGCTTTACAGAGAATTAAATACCTATTTTTGAGAAACTGTATGGTTCATCATTTTTGCTGTCTTACTGGGAAATACAGCCACTTGTCAGTGAATAAAACAAGATGCTGCCATTTCGGCAAAATATGGACCTTTTTTCTAAATCACATGATAGGCTAATACTCCAACAATCTTAGGCTTTACACGTTCACATGATGCAAATATTTATAGTGGCATCAATATTCTAAATCTTTATTTGATGCAACACATATGGTCAGACAAATGTGTACTGATTCATGTGAGCACACGTGCTAATAAATGCCTACACGGCCCGATAACTTTAAAAAGAGAATTGATTTTCGCTGCAGAATATGTAGTCATCAGTCTGATTCATGAACAGTTAGTTTGTGAGATATAAAAATAAAGCTTATAAATGTGACTATGCGAACGTAACATGAAATAAGTGTTCAGCAATAACTTCAATAAATCAAATCAGTCAAGTATGCCATTTCAGTTCTAAATTTTCGCTTTCCTTTTCCTATAGAAAAAATTCCATTCTTGGTGAGAATTCAGACAACATTACGCTATAGATGAATGCAAATTTTCTAGCTGTCGAAAAAATATCAAGGCTCCATTATTAATTTTAAATATCATAGTTTCCTTAAGTTAGCTGGAATAAAGTTTGAAAGAGCAGCTGATTTTGTAAATATAAGACATCTATGGTGGTTAAACTTGAACTGTCAAATGAATCAGCTTTCAAAAAGCACTTGAGGTCCTGAATCCTAACTTACTAGTAGCCCTGTGTGCTGGGATTTTGTTTTCAAAAGGTTAACAATGAAACAGTACAGAAGAACTTATTTTCATATATGCTCACCTCAAACCGCTGAAGCGGTGTTCCATTTGTTACACAGCAGAATCAAAGTATGTTGAACGTATTTGGCGTCTATGTAAGTATAAAGAACCAATTCTGGTCAGCCTACAAACTTCAGGAGTATATTCAACCACGCGGGAAACCGCTTTGACGTCTACTACATAAATGTTTACAGAAACACTCGAGATCTTATGCTATGATAGAATCAGGTTACTCCAAAGGATAAAGTACGATTATTTGGTGATGTGGGCATTTCATTTCATACTAACTTAAAAAATCAAGCCGATATAGGCGACAGTCATTTGTCACTCCTGCGTTTCCAACACTTAATTACTTCAAAAAATCATTTTTATTGAAACTGAAAAACACCACATCCGTCAAATAAGTTAAATCGCCTGTTACTGACAACAAAGTGAAATATACCTCAGTTAATTTCACTTTCATCACAGCTGTATTCCTTTATTTGTGTTTTTATTATTATTATTATTGTTCCCTTGGGTTTCTAGTGGAACATAGGGCTTCAACTGCACGCCTCCACTTGCTTCTGTCTTCTCCTGTACTTTTCACTTGCATCCATGTTAGTCCATACTGTTTCAGCTCCTCTTCACGCGATCTCCTCCATGTCACCCTTGGACGTCCCACTCGCCGCTTCCCTTTCGGGTTCCACTCG